GGGCAAAGGCTGGTGTGGTGACAGCTGCTGTGCTGGAGCAATGAGGAGGTCACCAGGGCCTGGCCGTGTTCGCCAGGATGGGCTCAGCCCTGCCTGAGGGTGTTGGGCAGGCCTGCATCCAGCTTTGGGGAGGAGGGTGTGCTGGCCCACAGGATGGGGCTGGGCTGTCAGGAACAGGATGGCATGCAGGGTGCAGGACAGCTGCCTGAGCCAGGGCAGGCAGGATCAGGAGACCCCATCTAGGCAGGGACAGGAGGGATATCAAGGATGCTTATACCCAGGGCTCCATGGAACTGGGAAAGACTGGCTATGAGCAGAGGCAGCTTGAACTGGGTACACAGGGACCCAAAAATCCAAGCCCTCAAGCCTGTTTCTTTCTCCTAGAGGCATTAAATACACTCTAGGAACATGGCGACCATTGGCCACCCAGGCCTAAGGCTACAAGCCTCCCCCAGGTCAGGCTCCCTGACACTGGCTCCACCCCATTCGGGCCTGCTCACCACACATCCCTAGGCAGAACAAAATAAACTATTCAGCCTCTGCAGCCTGGCCTGCACTCTCTGCTTGCCTCATTCACCACCTGCCTGCTGCCTGCCTGCCTGTGTAAGTGCCTGTCAGGAATTCCCTCCATGAGTGAGAGCAGAGCGATGACAGTGTGGAACACCAGCTGCCTGCCCGCCCCTGCCCTCTGAGCAGCCGGTCCGACCCTCCGGCGGCCGGCGGCAGGCTCAAGGCAGGCCTGACACAGATCTCAGGCTCGGCTGAATGGGTTTTTTCCGTCCAAGGAGAAGTGGGGGTGGGAAGGGCCTCCAGCCTTCCCTTCTTGCCAAAGTCAACAGGGGACAGCCGTGAGGCTCCCCAGTGGTTTGCTGGGACGTTTAAATAGCTTGACAGAATTATCTGATTCTCTCAAAAATATGCTAAAAGGGCCTGACTTCATGACTAAATGTATTTACCCTGGCTCAGGGACACTCAGATTAGGGCAGATTTTTCCCCCAGCCCTGTGCAAGGTACACAGCCCCTGCCTGCCAGGCCAGCAAGGTTCCGGGTTTGGTCTTGTGGTCCTGGAGCTGGTGTGGGTATTGCTCGGGGTCAGCAGCAGGAGTGACAGGCTGCAGGTGAGCTGGTCAGCATAGCCACAGGGCAGCCTGTGGGTCGGCTGCAGGCTGGCAGGTCTAGACTCCACTGCCTGTGAAGGTGGCAAATGTTAAGTTTAGGGCCAGGTTGAGATAGAAAAGATTAGCTTTGAAAATGCATGGTTTTTGCCCTTCAGATGGGGTTCTCCCTCCTCCTGCCCCACTGTCTGTCCATCTCTAGGATTTGAAGTTGAGCAACTCGGGAACCCGCTTGTCTGTGTTATCTGCTGTGTGCCTTGTGCTGGCCTCATGCTCCATTCAGGAGCTACCAGGGAGAGCCAGGCTCTGGGCGCCCTGATAGCATAGACACAGAGCCAGCCTGGAAATCGCAAGTCCAAAAGAAAGAGGCCCGCTTTCCTGGCCAGAAGATTGACCAGGAGCGCACAGCGCCCCACAGTTTCTAGTGCACAAGGACAGCTTGGCCAGAAAGCACAAAGGACCACGAGACATGCTGAGGGCTCAGGCCAGGAACGTAAGAAGGGGGCGTATGAGTGCTCAGCCAGGGACCCAGTGCAGAGGCCCAACCCTGCCCTCAGCAGCAGTGTTCTGAGCATATGGATAGTGACAGTAACCACAGAATACCTGGCCAGCAGGAGCAGGGCTGCAGGCAGGGCTTCCCCCATACCATAGCAGAGCCCTGATTCCCAGAGCGAGGTGCTGGTCCACACCTTCAGCACCCACAGGTAGGGGTGACAGGAAGGGCAAGAGTGTTGGCCAAGCTTGACAAGGCTACCAGGAACTGAGACAGGGCAGCTGTACTCTTTTGGTATAGATGGTCCAACGAGGCCACAAAGCCACACAAGAAAAGAGGCAGAGCCCCGTTCCCTTCTTGTGCCTACGTGCAGTGCCTGACAGGCCTGTTTGGCCTGGTCCCAAGAGCCCCCAAGTTGGTCTCTGTGGTTGGGACCCACAGCTTAGGGAGGACCTGGTCTTCAGTGTCACACAGCCCAACATAACTGCTGGGGCAGGGCACCAGCGCACCCTAGGCTCCATGGTCCATTGAGAACAGGGGTGAGCCAGCACACCCTGGCTTTCGTGTGTTGTGCTTTGTGTGTGTGTAGGCAGTGGACTGCTCACCCCAGGGAGCGTGCAAGTAAAGGTGGAGAGGACAGAGGTCCCTCAGAGTGCACTGTGCAGGAGAAGAAAAAGCCAGCATGGGCATCAGTTGTCTCACTTCTTCCACTCAGTAATGATGATCGATGGAGTAGCTATGAATAGATCACCCATCGTGCTGCAAGCTTTATCTACATTGCTTTAATTTCGCCCTCACCATAACCTATGGGGTCAGGGTGTGTGGCGAGGAGTACCATGGGCAATCTTGGTTTTCTGATCTGCAGAAAGGGCCCAAGACTGTTGTCTCAGGGCCCAGGGGAGGGACGGCAGGGGCTCAGTGCACCGAGCCATGGGCTGTTGTCTTGCTGAGGACCTGTCAAGGCTGTCAGCGTGGTCTGTCCCAAGGTTTATCCTCCAGGTGACCTGCACATGACATTCAGTGTGACAGTGCCAGGCACCCAGTCGGGGACTCAGCAGTTAGCTCTCACTCTTGCTGTCCAGCAGGGGGCCCAAGGCCTGCGCACACCCCTGAAATCCATCTTGAATTTGAGAAGCAGAAGCTCTGTTCCCCATGCAGTTGTGAGTTAGCACCCTGGATCCTCCCCGACCCTTCTGATGTCTGTTCCTCCCCAGGTTGGGGCCCGGCCTCCTGTCACCCATGCTCAGCCCACTGAAGGGACTCAGGCCACCTCCAGCGCCCTCCCAGAGCCGATCTCCAGGGGCCCAGCCATTTTCCACGTTGCCCAGCAAGCCACCCTATACTCCTTTCCAGAGCCCCCCACCTCCACCACTGCCCAGCCCACAAGGTAAGGCCTAGCTAGGTCTGTGCTGTCATCCCAAGTCAAGGGGTGACACAAGCCTGGGGGAGGCAGGTGGGTTCTCAGGGATTGGCAGCCTGGGAGATGAGGACCATGCTGGGGAAACTGGGGCAAGGCGACCTGAGAAGCGTGGTGTGGAGCTACGTGGAATGGTACACGCCTGTAATTCCAGCACTATGGGAGACAGAGGCAGGCAGATCACAAACTCACACCCAGCCAGGAAATTTAGTGAGACTTTGTCTCAAAATAAAAATGTGTTGGGAATGTAGCCCAGCGTGAAGGCTCTGGGTTCAATCCCTAGAAAAGGATTAAAAAACAAAAAAACACGAAAACACATGGCTGGCCAAAGTACAAGTTTTAACAACGAAGAGGCATGAGGTATCTTCTGTCCATAGGCAGCAAGGGTTTCCTGTGTCACAGCCACCTCCTAGCCAGGAGCCACCACCTGAGCCTTCCCTCCCCAGAGTCAAGCTGGGATAGAAGCCTGGGGCGGTACCTGGGCCAGACAGCACTGGGGGCAGCGGAGTACAGGGTGCTGGACCCACCTGCCCTGACGGGTTCTGTCCCCTTGCCCGCAGGCTACCAGGGCAGCTTCCACTCCATCCAGAACTGCTTTCCCTACAGCGACTGCTACCGGAGCGGCGAGCCAGCAGCCAGCGGGTCTGGGCTGGGCGGGGAGGTCCCTGGGTTCACCCCGCTGCGGCCCAACGGCTACCCCAGCCTCGGTGCACCTTTACCTGCCGCAGGTGAGGGGGCTTTGTGCACATTGTCCTGAGTACCTCGGACAGCCTCGTGGGATTGTTGTGAAGTTAAGGTGAGAGAAAGAAGGCTTAGATGCCCACTCGGTGAGGACTCAGTAAATTCTGGTTCCGGTTTGGGGGTTTCTAGTGGCTGGTGGGGTGAGAGGATGAGCACCATGCATGGCTCTCTGCAGGAAGAGAGGGGTCTGAACCCTGTATTCTGCCCCACTCCAGCTCTGGGGTTGGGCTGCCTGGGCCAGTCCCACACAATGCCCCAGTTGGACAGTCCCACAGATAGCAGGAGCTGGAAGGACAGGACAGAGCCCCTGCCACCACCAGCCTGACCCTTTCTACCTGTCTGCAGGCTACGAGGCCCCGTGCCCCACAGTGCTGCCCCCACAGTTGTCTGAAGATGCGGTGCCTGGTGGCCCCGAAGACTGCAGCTTCTTCCCCAATGGCGCTTTTGACCACTGTCTGAGCCACATCCCCTCCATCTACACAGACACCTGAAGGAGGGCAGCACCTGCCAGCCAGTGCCCAGCTCTGCGTCACCCTTGCTGGGGTTCTCCATTCCTGCCCCGGGCTGGGCCAGCCAGGCTGCCATATGAGGCTGAGCTCAGTGGTACCTGCCAGGGACCACAACCATGTGACAGGCCCCTGGTTGTGTCTTCCTGTTTCTTGCCTATGGTTTTGAAATCACAGACCTCGTGTATATAAAGTGTATGGAAAGTGTTTCCCATTCCCCTGCCAGTTTTATATTTTTGTTTTACAAGAGAAACATTAAAAACTGGAATCAAGCCGTGGGGGCCTGGTTCTGCCTGAGCCTATAGGAAGCTCCCACCCAGCTCAGTGGAGTATGCATTGGGGGCCGAGGCTGGGGCTGGGGGCGGGGACATGGAACCTGGCGAGTTCTGGCCATGAGGATGGAACCAGTGTCACTGTCTGTCACACCACGCTGTGGTCCTGCAGACCCCTATGTAGGTCATAGGCAGCACTGCCAAGCAGGGACAGTCCCTTGGAGTCAGGCTAAGTCAGGAGACCCAGGCAGAGAGGGGACCAGGGCTGGGCTTAGGTCACAGTCAGACTTGTCTTTGTGGAACCGGCTTGGCCCCCGCCTTCCTACAGCGCTGCTGGCCACACCGTCCTCAGCTGGTGGGAAAGCAGGCTCAGGTTGTGCTGCTTGGGCCTGTGTGAACGAGGACCAGGGTGGGCACAGCAAGCCTTCGGGTACAGCCCCAGCCACCCCCGAAGCCATGGAGGCATGGGCCTACATCTCCCTCAGCCTCCTGAAGGCCACCCGAGAAGAGGTGAAGGAACAACGAAGCAAGGCAGGTCATGTGTCTGCACACTGACTGTGTGCCCTGTCTGTCCTCTGCTCCTGGACACAGCCCCAGTAGGCCTCTGTAGCTCAGCAGCACAGGCAGGATACAAACCCAGGGCGGACTCTGCCTCGATTTTCACCCATTTCACATAATCAAAGGGACAGCGAAGTCACTTGCTCCCCTGACAGTGTCTGGGATCCAAACCCAGGCCCTGGCTCTAGAGCCCTGCTCCACCACTACCTGCCCTCAGAGACTCGAGCCCTGGCACCCACCTCCCCTCCAGCCTTGCCCTTCCTCCAGGGCCCAGCCCTAACACCCTGTTCCCCCATGGGAAGACCCTGACCCCACCCTATGGAGTTCCTGACTTCCACCCAGGCTCCCCTTGCCTCCCTCGCCCATCCCCAGTGATTTATGGAACTCATTAGGCCATGGCAAAATTCCTTTAACAAGGACGCTCAGGAATCAGTGCTGCGTGTCATTGTGAACACTTAATCCAGTCCAGATAAGCAGAATTAGGCTGTACAATGAGGACATATTTCTATTAATAATGCAAAGGGCTGAGCCTTGAGCAGGCGAACACACAAGGAGCTGGCGGTTGGATGCCATTGAGTTTCAGAGAGCAGAGAGGGAGACAAAGACAAGCTGACAAGACGCAGTGGCTGAGGGGCTGTGCGCCTGAGCCCTGCACACAGACTCCTGTCTCTGTGCGACTCCTCCTGGCCCCCAGGGACTGTTCCTCTCCGCTTGGCACACTCAGGATGCTCCTCGAGGGCCAGGGCAGCCCACAGGGACACCTAAGCTTCCCTCCTGGCCATTTAGAGACCAGCAAGACCACTGTCCTGTGCCAGGGCCTCTGCAGCCACCGTGAGCCTGGGGTCCAGGTGCGTAGTGAAGGCTCCCTTAACTGGTAAGGGGGTGTGACTGTCACTGTCACATTGGGAGTTGGGATAGGGACAGGTGAAAAGGGCTGGCATTTCTCACTGTGCCCCAGGGTGCAAAACAGTGCTCATGCCAGCTAGGGCCACACTGCCCTTCTGGCATAGACTGTAGAACAGCCTGCATCCAGCCTCGGTCACTTCCAGGCTGAGGCCAGCACACAAGCAAACACACATGTGCCCACGGAGCTTCTGCCATTTTCTCTTCTGCTGAAACAGTGTGTGAGATAGTCCTCTTTCAGAGAGGGCAGTTTCCCTCTCCTAAGGCCCCTGTGTTTCAGAGTGTATATATACATGTGAGAGAGACTGGGAATTGAAATGGTTTCACACTACATCCCTAGCCCCTTGATTTTTTCTGTGACAGTCTCACCAAGTTGCCTATGCTGGGCTTGATCTCACAGTCCTCCTGCCTCGGCTTCCCAGAGTGCTAATACTGTGGGCAGGCGCCGGCTCCCCGAGTTTTTCCTTACCCGGCTCCCTCCCCAGTCCTCTGTGGCTCTGAGGCCTGTGATCTGCCCAAGGCAGTGTGTAGCCCTGATGCTGGGACAGGGAGGGCCGAAGAGGAGGCTCCTAACCCAGGACTGCAGCTCACACCTGCACTCTGGGCAGGAGAATTACAGGTTCTATCCCAGCCTGGGAAAATTAGTAAGACATTTTCTCAAAATAAATAAAATTAGAAGTGCTGGGATGCCACTGAGGGTGAAGCTACTGGGTTCAATTCCCAGTACTACCAAAGAATAGTGAAAAATAAAAAAGGATCCTGGGAGAGTTCTGCTGAGAAAGACCTTCGGGCCAATGTCTCATTCCACATCTCCTGTTCTAGGCCCCCATCCCTGCTGGCCTTGGGCTCACAGTGATCACAGGTACAGCCAGGGATACTGGGGAGTGACAGATGCATTTACACATAGAACATGGAGCCCTTGGGTACTGCCCTGATTTTGTCACTGCTGCCACTAGCTTGTGGGGCAGCACCTGGTACGTGGCAGGGGCTCAGTACCCACATCCAGATTCCAGAGTGCTTGCTCTGTGGTCAGAGAGGAAAGTGGAACAAGGACTGTGAGCAAAGTCATCCCATCCGCCCGGTGACAAAGCTCTGGGGGGTAGGCTCATGCCAGCCTCGGAGCAGGTAACAGGTCAGTGACTGGCAGTGGAGAGCACAGGCCCTGGGCCCCGCCCACACTGTCTCCTCTTCAGTGTGTCCCAGACACTAGGGCATCACATGCTTGCTGGCTTGCCAAGACGACAGCTTGATTGCCCCTCTTCCAAGGTAAGTGCTGGGACCATTTCTTGGAAGACAGAATTGAGGCTCAGGGAGCTGGCCCTTCCTGTGGGAGTCGGCAGAGCTAGAGTGGGACCCAGGCCTTGGCACCCAGCACCTGCACCCCGCCTTTGCTGCCCCAAAGGTCTGCGTTGATGGCCTGAAGAGCCAACTGACAGCTTCCAGCAAAGACCCCTAAAGACCCCTCACCCATCACACTATGTCTCAGCCTCCCTAGGGCTGGAATTACAGGTATGCGCCACCACACCTGGTTTTGGTGGCGCCTGTGGCCAGCACAGCATGCAGGGGTAAGGGGGATTGAACCTGTGTCCTTTGCACCTGCCAGGCAGGCGCTTAGACCACCGAGCTATCTCCCCAACCCCTGGCCCAGCTATTTTTAGGGCAGAAAGTACCAGAGCAGCGCAGGGCTCATCAGATCTGAAGGGGACTGGGGACGTGGAGGATCTAAACTGAAGCTGGCATCTGGGTTTGTTATGACGGGCTCTGGGCTTCCCCTTTCTATTCTTTATACTCCTGTGAATTTTGGAAACTTCCAGGAAAGAATCAAAGCCGTGCAGGGTGGGTGGGCTGTGTCACTTGCTTAGTAGCCAGAGTATGTTTAAGAGGCAAGGGTCTGTGAGTCAATTCATCTCTACTCTGTCCTGTCAACCAGGGACCACATTGGTGGCTTGCGTCTGCAGTGCCCAGCAGAAGGCCTGGCATATTTGTGGGGTTTAACAAATGCTGAATTAATTTGCAGGGACAAATAAGAGTACTGCGGAGCAAGAGCCAGGCTGGGCAAGGTCTGTTAACCTCACACCAGAAGGTGCTAGCTGCCTGGATCACAGAAGACTCAGGAATTCTGGGCTCAGCCCCAGATCTTTGCAGAATGCCCTAGACGTCAGAAGCAGACTGCTAGGAGAATCCCAGGCAGGCAGGGACTCCAGGGCTGAGGCTGGAGGCAAATCTCAAAATTTATAAAAACCAAAGTCCTCTGAAATAATGCGGATGACTTGGGGAAAGAAGTGAGCTTTCTGTTCTTGGGGGTATGCAACAAGATCAGGCAGGAAATAGAATCAGTCGTGGCACTACTTGTAAAGGCCTCTTAGGCCCAAGTGGGACCCTGGGACAGAGGTTCTCACAGCTGCAGTGGCAGCAGGGGCATACCCCCTTCCCTCCCTGTCCTGTCCCTGAGGCTGGACCGAGGGCACAGCGTCCTGGTGGTGAGTTGTGTGTCCAAGGGGAAAGCAGGTAGGTGGTCACAGCTTGAGTTGCTGCCTAAACACTTCACCAGCAGCTCACAGAGGGCAGACCTCACGCCAGGGCTCTCGGGACAGAAGGCCAGGCGGCCATGCTGGGGAGTCTGCCTTGTGTCTCTCCAAACTCCCCAAGTGGAGTTTGTTTGCCCACCTGAGACAAGCCTGCAGAAGTGGAAGTCAGGCCCGGGTGCCAGCATGCCTCTACCACTGTGGAAAATTGCTTCGTGTTCTGGGTCTCCGTTTCCTCTTGTAAAGTGTGGACACATCCCCAGCTCTCCTGGCTGCTAGAGTGCAGAACGCAGGGGGGCTACCGTCTGCTTGCAGACTGTGGGGGTGGCTGTGTCTAGATGGCCTGATCTCCCCTGCAGTCTGCCCTCGGCCCCGCCAAGGCTCCTTAATGCCCATCTGCCTCCAACAGCAGACTGAGCAACGGGGCAGGGTGAGGGGAGGGAAGAGAAGAGTCAGGAGGGTGAACAGTCAGAGCCCCCAGAAGAGAAGTGTGGTAGGGTCCTCCACTAGAAACAGGGTGGGGAGGACAGAGGACACAAAGCCCAAAGCACTGGCCTGAACGCTGTCCCTCCCAGGCAATCACAGCTGTACTGCCATCTCCCTGGAGCCTGGTTCTGCAAGGTGGCTCCGAACTCACAGAGGCCCAGAACACACAGACACACACTGCCCTGTTTTCACCGGCACACTGGGGCAGCTGAGGCTGGCACAGTAGGAACAGGCTCAGGAAGCTATGGCTCTCAAGCCATGCAAAGCCAGCTGACAGCAGGACCCTGAATCCCCGGTCCTGCTCAGGCCAGCATGGGCTGGGGTCTTGGTGGTCACCTCACTGAGGCTGGAGATGTCTGTGAGGTGGGACCGGAGCTCCTCTCTCGGTGGGTGGATTTCACAGAGCATTGGAATGAGGGCCTTATACATGGCAGGTGCTCAGAAAATGTAACTATTAGTATTTCCATGTAGCTAAATTCCCAGAGCATTTGCCCCATGACTAAACCAACCTCTACGTTATGG